AGCCGTTAGCGGTGCTGCTAACGTTACTAGCTCTCCTCCTGTTGGTTTAAACACTGATTGGTTGTTTACAATGAAACATGATCAGAGACTAGAAACACATGTTCTACTGAGTCAGTAAAACTTTATTTACACTCTGATGGTTAACGATAAAACTGTGTATTTAATCTGAGGTTCACATGCGTGAAGAACCTTGAGGGGGATCCGTACGGGTCGACAGCAGTCCGTTACACCTCTACCTTCGGGTAAAACGTGGAAGTCTCACCTGAGATACAAGCAGCAGGAAGGCCTTTGGAGGACAGGATGTCTGCCAGGTGCTGAGCCCTGAGGGAGCAAAGCACACCGATCCTCAGAGACGCGTCATCGAACAATACAGATCATCAAGAGAACCTCTGAGGACACGGGTGGACCATTAAAATACCTTGTGTGGAGATTGGAGAACACCAGAGCCTGGTTGAACGGGAGTTTACTGAAAAGCTCCAACAAGTGCTGCACTTTCTCCTGGAAGATCTTGTGAGGTAAAGGATGGGACGGCACCAGCTTGTAGTACTGCTTCAGACCTGCAGGGGGCAACACAAGGACAACATGCAACGAAGAATATCAATTCAAACTCAACTCTGTTTTTAATGGGATGGGGGAAATCATTCAAAGGGTTTGGGTGGTGTGTCTGCACATCACACGTCACTGTGAATACAGAGCTGCAGGGAGGACGTATATCTCTAGACCAACAGAGACGAGTGCTTCTCGTGTTACTGTTTAAACCACCTCACGCCCTCAGGAAGAAGGAAAACTCGTCACATTTAAGGCTGCAACTAACGATTATTGTGTCGATTAATCTGTGAATTATGTTCTTGATTAATCGATTAGTTGTTTGGTTTAATGAATTTCAGAAAAATGGTGACAAACACATCAGTGTGGTCCAAAGCCCCTTTAAATGCATTTGTCTTCAGTGTTTCGTGGCAACAATGACAGCAGCACACCTGGCCGGGTTCTTACCTTTAAGGCCCATGTCGCTGGGGTTGAGTCGGACAAAAGTGGGCTCTCTCATGTAGCGGGTGAGGTGCTGAGCAAGGCATTCTGGGTAGGTGGCGGAGAGCGCGAGCATCTGTTTGTTCACTGGCAGAGAGGAGAAGATCCAGCTGAGGAGACAAGCGGAGGAGGTGGGTTGAATTATGCGTTTATGTAAAACAGCATCTAATTAATGACATTTCATTCATACAGATTTGTGATGAAAGGCTGCACTCTGACAACCGTATCACATCATTAAATATGAGCATCTGTCCATCTCACTTGATCTGTTCCTGGAAGCTGCCCTCCTCCAGCAGCTTGTCTGCCTCGTCCAGAACAAACAGTCTGATGCTGGCGGTGGATAACATGCCCAGCTCGATAAGCTGCTTGATGCGACCTGCGATGCACAGATAACAGCATGGCGCGTTACAAGGGGTGTAACGATACCCGCGTTTGTATTGAAATGTTCGGTATGCGACATTCTTCCGGTACGCCCCCGTGACCCGAGCAGCAGTTTATGTCTTCGACTCGTACAAGCGGAACAGGAATTCTGAAGTGCAAGTTTAACCCGGGAAGATTTGACAGCACACCAGTTGCTGTCAGCTCTAATTTCAGATATAAAAATCAAATAAATGAACAAAAAGTTCCCTATTGCACCGTAAAAACGTACCGAAGCGTGAGTTTCGTCACACCCCTGAGCGGTTACACAAACAGTGCCGCGTCTCTCTAATCAACAGTCCGTCGGCCTCTTACCGGGCGAGCCCACCGCCACGTGGCACTTCTTCAGATGGGTTTTGTCCTGACTCACGGGTCGGCCCCCGATGAAAACGTGGCACTCGAGGCCCTCCATGGTGCAGCCGATGGCCATCACCACCGAGTGTATCTGCACCGCTATCTCACGAGTGGGAGCCAGGACCAGAACCTGCAGGACGAAGAAGGTTAAATGTTAACAACCACTTACATTTGATTGCAGATTAAGGACGGATGGATGCGGAGTCGTCCCCAATCAGTAAGACCCTGCAGCTAATATGATTGCAGTCGGTTCATCAGCGAGAGCAGATGTTCTGCTGTAATAATTGCCTTCTTTCATTTACACTTTTGACACTGAGCTGCTTAAACCCATCAGATTAAGACCCTAAAAAACCAAAGGGATTACTTCTCATGACCACTTGTTGTTGAGCAGTGGTGAATTTCAAAATAAAAGTTTTGTTTTCCAAAATACAAGATGCCTGAAGACTGATTTCGCTCACCTGAGTTGCAGGATTCTCCAGAACCAGAGAGTCCAGGGCGACGGTGCAGAACACGCACGTCTTCCCCGTGCCGGACTTGGCCTGTACGATCAGGTCTGAAACAACAGATGGTAGATGAAGGGCTGCACTATGAGTCAGAATAATCACGATTCATAAGCGTGGGCTTCCACGGTTCATTTCACTTGACTGCGTGCGACGTATTGATTGCCTCGCTGTCTTGAGCGTCAAATCTGCTGCATCAAATAAAGCGCTTCCTATCTACAGTTAGACTGAAGGACCAATCAGAGGCGTTCACTTCAAGTACACTGTGATTAACGGCTCTCTGCTTCTCATATTCATGGCCTACTTTATTGACTTTATACAAACCCTGTAAAGAAACAATTAAAGATTGAAATGCATTATAGAGAAACAAAGGCTGAATATCATGTAAACTATTTGATTTGGCTGCCAAATATTTACTCAAATGTAGACATTTATGTTTCTAAAGCATCTAAAAGTGAGTTGGCCTTCTTTGTATTAATCCCTAAACGTGTAAATAGTGTTTTTAATCAAACTATTTGTGACAGTGGTGAATTTCAAAATAAAAGTTTAGTTTTCTCCTCTGAATAATAGCTCATGTCTATCACAATGGTGGTCTGAACGACGATTTTTGACCGTTTTAAACAACGTTAAAAGTTTCGTTTTTGACAGCTTTAAACGGCGTAAAAGGCAGCGACGTTTTGGGTGTAAAAACGGCACAAAAAACGTCCCTTTCGGCTTTCCGTAGCGCACCACGCAGTTTCGATGAACCCACCTAGTCCGCAGCGGCCCAGCGGGATCGCCTTGAGCTGGATCGGGGACGGCTTCCGGAAGCCCGCGGAGGACAGTCCGTCCAGCACGGGCCGAGAGAGCAGAAGGGAGCTGAAGTCGATTCCCTCCGATAGAAGCACATCGTCGGTCCGCTTTCGCGTCTCGATGTCGTGGGCTGCTTTCCTCACGGAGGCCGCCATGTTGACTGGACTTGTTTACCCCCCGCTGATCAGACTCAGCTGCTTTAAAGAGCGTTGGGAGCTGCAGCTGCTGTTTCTGTAGCGCCCTCTTGTGACGGGGAGGGGAACTGCACTGAAAAATACAATAACTCGTGAACCTATGGAGCCAAATCCAGGACAATAGTTTTGATCATTTGAACAGTGGCGGCTGGTCAATAGAGGGCGCCGCCCCACCTGGCTCATGGCTCCTCAGAGATCCCTCCTCCCTCCTCGATCCTCGCTCCTCAGAGCAGAAATAAGAGCTTTGGGACGGCCGTCAATATGGCGGCGCACCGGACTTCCGCACCGGAGAACCGGAATTGTCTTAAAAGTCTCTTAATTGTCATTTCCTCAACTTCCGGTTCTCCGGAAGTCCGGTTATTTTAAAACCAGACACATCAGTCCTGTACACTCCTGTTGTAACTCTCTTTTCTTAAACTGGCGTTGACCTCTGACCTCTTTAAAAAGGGACTTAATTGACTGGTGGATTCAAACCCATCAGGCTCTTTATAAGCACCGTATTGTGTTTGTTCGGCTGACATATGTCAGCTAATCCAACGTTATCGAGTAATTCAGTGCATATAAAAATGACATTAAGACTCCATAATGCTCCGTGGACGCCTTCAACCAGCAGCGTTGAGCTGTGATCCTCAAACCCATCATTGTGCCGCTGAATCCCTGCTTCATCACTCAGGAGCAGCTGTAAACCCGCCAATCATGGAAAGTGTAGTCTTAACAGGATATTAGACTGAATTATTGTCCCCACAATCCGGATCCACGGATTTTGGTTTTTCATTAATTAGATTTCACAGAGCCTCCCCTCCTCTCGTCGGGCTTATTAAGGAAGGTGTGATCTCTTCTCAGAGCAGAGCAGCAAACATGCAGCATTAACACAGCAGAGGTGTTCCTATTGTTGGATTACCACACTTATTTTTTTCTTTTCTTTTGTGAAACTGTCGTTTTTTACTAGATTCTGGAGTTTGAGGTAGTAGATAAACCGCTGACTCTTATATTCTAATACCAGTGAAGCTTCTGAGCAAGGATGGAGCGCCTCCCTCTGCACCATGGAAACTCCTCGGCCAACGCAGAGCTCCTGTCTCGGACCGGCTACACCGTGCTGGCCGTGATCATGGGCACGTTCTCCGTGGCCGGGATCCTCCTCAACGTCCTGGTGATCGTGGTGACGGTGAGACACAGACAGCTGAGGCAGCCGCTCAGCTACGCCCTGGTGAACCTGGCCGTCTGTGACCTTGGCTGTGCCGTGTGTGGAGGTCTGCCCACCACGGTCACCAGCGCCATGGGGTACTTCAGCCTGGGACGTGCGGGCTGCGTGTTGGAGGGCTTTGCTGTCTCCTTTTTCGGTGGGTACATTTAGTGTGAACCTGGATTGATCTCGTCAGCACTGTGAGGAAAGAGGTGCTCACGTGATTTACTTGTGAAAGTAGCAATGCAGTTGTGTTAAAGTACTCGTAATCCTATCAACGGAATGTACTTAAAGTCTAAGAGATCTATCGCTGCAGGAGGTATCTCAATGGGGATTGAGCCTGCGGACCACTGATGGAGGTTCATATGTTTGCAGTACTTTCAATGGGGGTGTCTATGCTAACATTCCTGTAAGAATGCTGAATTACAATTTTTCTCCATTGAATACACGTAAAAAATTGGAAATATGTACACAATTCTGAAAAAAATAGCATGTTAGTCTAGAAATTCAGACGCAGCCCAAAACTCCAGAGTGATAAACTAGAAGCACAATTCCTTTGTTCATTTCTTCATCCATTAGGACTGAAATCTAAATGATTTACACGTTAAATCCAAATATCAGAAGTGAAAGTATTGGTTCGTAAACGTGAATTTGCATGTCATAAATAGTTAAATCACGAGATATATTCCACGAAAATAATAAAATAATGTCTTCTTTACATATTCCTTCTTTTTTTCCAGGTATAGCGAGTCTGTGTACAATCGGAGTCATTTCTGTTGAACGCTACATCGTGGTGTGCTATCCCATGGGGGCGGTCCTGTTCCAGACCAGGTACAGACGTGACCGTCAGTATCTCATCACCCAGACTACAAGTCTTTGATTGCTCCTTCCGGTATGTGACGCTCCGTCTCCGTTGTCCTCAGACACGCTGTAGCAGGAGTGGTGCTGTCCTGGGTCTGGTCCTTCGTGTGGAACACTCCGCCTCTGTTCGGTTGGGGAAGCTACGAGCTGGAGGGCGTCAAGACCTCCTGCGCCCCGAACTGGTACAGCCGGGACGTGGGGAACATGTCGTACATCATCATGTACTTCTGCCTCTGCTTTGCTGTGCCCTTCTCCATCATCTTGGTGTCTTACTCGCGACTCCTTTGGACTCTACGCCAGGTGAGTAGCGCCAGGCATGTGGGCATTCTCGATGAAAAGATTACAAAGAGCATTTAGCTTGGACGATGAAGTCTCTTTTCCTGTATTTTTGGTGCGCTAAGGTGACCAAGCTGCAGATATCCAGATATGCGAGCACGCACCGTGTGGAGGCGCAGGTGGCGCGTATGATCGTGGTGATGGTGCTGGCCTTCCTGGTGACCTGGCTGCCATATGCTGTCATGGCCCTCGCGGTCATCATGGACTCCAGTTTATATATCGACCCCGTCGTCGCCACCATACCGGTTTACTTGGCTAAAAGCAGCACCGTCTACAACCCCATCATCTATATCTTCATGAACAGACAGGTAATCCTCCATCACGCACCTTTATATTCTAGACCAGGATCACGGCAGTTCATTAAGTAGTCACGTTGGTTTGTTGACTAAACCTAATTTTCATTAACGTTAAAAACAGACAATTTGTTTCCCTGTAAACAAAACCAATAGATTGCCTTTTGTGACTTTTTCACGAACTCCCGTGAGACTGTGTTGTTTATTCACATCCACACAAAGAACTGGACTTTAGGCAGGTCTGATCACACACTATTGTTAACCGTGTGCGTGTGTGTTTCCAGTTTCGGGGATACGCTATTCCCACGGTCCTGTGTGGATGGAACCCGTGGGCGTCACATCCACAGACGCCCGAGGACGAGACCACGGTTGCCTCGATAATGAAGAGCCAGAGAGTCTCACCTAAAGGATCTTTAAATGAATGAAGTGTGTACTCACTCCCGACCATTTACTTTCATCCAATAGGCAACCCCCTCTGCACCGGACGGCGAAGACAACTTTAAGAGTCTAAAGTGACAAAACACAGAATGATATTGATGCCACAAATGAGGATGCTGTACAAATCATGTATCATTAACAAACAACATTAAAGCAGCTGTGAGAAAGAAGAAGGAAACCATTATCATACAAGACTCATGTGTTCAAACGTCTCTTCCTGCCGAGGCTGTCCCAACGTTTTATATATTCTGACAATAAAGACGACCTCTTTGTCTCCGTCTGTCATGGATTCTGTTGATCTTGTCAAATACAGATTTAAAGCTTTGATTAAAGATTTAAATCCACATTTACACACATACATAAAGCAACATACGTGTTTTGGTAAAGTAAATGATATGCATGTACATTTTAATTCTGTTCATGGATATCGTGTAAAACCTCTCTACAGCACCAGCACAGACTTGAGTTAAGAGGCTTACACTCAAGGAGAATGTGTTGTCATTATGCAACACAGGGTGCAAAACAGTGCTTTTATTATTTGCATCAGAAGGAATGTAAACGGCAGGGAACAAAATCATTTTCTGGGCAATATGGCCGACATTTTAACATTGAAAACTTAACATCAGGGAATTAGTGTCCATCAACTTTGACCATGCTTGAGCACCAAGCATCACCACCATCAAGTGGGGACCACAAGACCCGGGAGCCAGGTCCCTCTAAAGACGTGGGGACATCGGGCTCCGACCTCCCGATTCTGGTTAGACTGTATTCGCCTGGTCTGATCTCGTCCAGTATCTTTTCATAGGATTTCATACAAACCGTTTTTTTTATGAGGATATGTTGCCGTGTTAGCTGAGCTGCCATCCCGGTTATCCTCTGTTTGGTCCGTCGGATATTATCTCAAGGTCTGCTCTCCAAGAATGAATCCGTCCGTCGAGGAGTGTATCTTTGTCATATGCCATAAGTGCTCCACTAATGAAGACGAAAAGACTTTATACTATCGTGTAAGCTACAAGAAAAACACATGGGTATGCTTCCTGAATTCTCGCTTGAATTAAATACCAAATCTACCGTCTATACCAGATGTTAAAGGGACAGTATGGAGCATTTAGGTGCATCTATTGGGAGAAATGGTATACACTGTTTAAGTATGTTTTGTTTAGTGTATAATCCCCTGAAACATTTCCGTTAGCTTAGAATGAGCAGTTTCTACAGCAGCCCAGAACACCGTTCTACACGGGAGAAGTTTCAGTTGGATGCATTCTGCAACCTCACCAATAGATGGCGCCAGAGCCAAAAACATTTGATGTTTTAAATGTTCTTTTAGCGCAAGCTCCGACTACATAAAGATCCCAAAATTGAGTAGCAAAATAAGAAGACATTTAAATAAGAGTTTGCCAGCAAACTGCCAACTCCCTGTAATGATGATGTAATCTATCACACTAGATGTCTACATAGTTTCCAAGACAAAAAAAAGTAATTACATGGTTTTTATTTGTTTTATTAGGTGTTCACATCCCATTTGCTTCTTAAAAAGGTCTGCGCTCAAACACGGTGCACCCCTCAAACACAAACAGACCTCTGTCACAGTTATGGCTTTCATTGATAAAAAAGAATCAGTGTGTTATACTCATAGACGTACTTCACTCCAGCCTTTTGGATCCAGCATGTTAAAACAGCAAGGAGAAAAAAACCAACAACCTGTCATCACTTTAGTCTCACAGTTTGATCATTCACAGTCATTTCTCCCCCTCTAAAGAAACACAACCAAACTCATCCCATCACCTTGGCGTTCTTTATTGATTACAGAAATATTGCTATGACTTTTATTAAGGAAAAACAAAAAAAGAATTAAAAGCCAGAGTGTGAATAGCTGTATCAAACCTGTACACGTTTTATATACACAGAGTGAGGGATCATCTATGTACATGCTACATACTGAATAAGTAGTCCTTCTGAGGCCTGAGGAACCGGACTATACACTCACAGGCCATCCTAAGATACAGTACACATTGACGTGGCAACCGATTGGTGTGTGAAACAGTTGTGTGCTTGTACACCTGGTGCTTGGAGGATTGATCGTTTCTGGCAGCCGGTAACAATATCAGCAGGAAAAACAACAGTGTGTCTGAGTGCTTCAAGTCCTGTTAAATAATCAGCGATGTTAGCGCCCAGGTTTACAGTTACTGCTGTACGATATACAACCTTGAAGTTGAGTCTGATTGGTACGACACACACACTCTCTGGTCCCAATGCTGGCAGCTCATGCTATTGTTGATGAGTACCGTGTTGTCATTGCCTTCCTCTTATTTAAGAATACAGTCACGGGATCATAGAAATAGAATATGAGCTGAACGGACATTGGAGTGTTTTTAGTGGTCATTATACGAGTACAAGATAAAATAGCCATTGTTGTGGCGACAACACACTCCAGTGGGTCTGTTAAATGGCAGAAGGATCGTTGGTCCGCAGCGCTGCCGCTGGCCACCAGCCCGCTTTTCAGCTCTATATCTGTAACCAGTGTAGCATTAAAGCATGGTGGAATTAGCGAGCTAGCCAAGTAGCCAGCGGTCCACTAGTTAGCTAGTCCTTCTTTGATCGTTAAACCCAGCGCTGCCACTGGCCACCAGTCCAATGTTCAGGTCTTTATCCGTAACCATTGTAGCATGAAAGCATGGTGGAATTAGCAAGCTAGCTAACGAGCCAGCTGTCCGCTAGCCCGTTACAGCGGTCACAATGGCAACGCAACACATTAAAATGGCCGTCACTCAGACCATCCTGCTACGTGATTTCAATGAGAATGTCCGTTCCACTCTTATTTTAATTTCTATGTCCCGACTCATTGCAGGTTAATGGGATGTTTGATGTCAAAATAAATGTAATACGGTCATGTTTCATGCACAATTTAAACCTTTTTTTCCAGCAGCAGCTATTTCACATACCAACTGAGTGTTTAATACACAAACATGCTTTAAGTAGATGACGAGTAAAGACAATGGCAAGGGTTGAACAGCAATATTATCGCCAAATTAACAGAGTGTGAACGACACAGAAGACTGACAGGTTGATGCTAAGAAATGACTTCTCTTTCACATAGTTCTATTTTTTTTTAAACCAGCTTTGCAAAATAAGGGTATCAGGGCCATGTTGGACATCGTCTGCTCCACTGGGGAGACAGACGAGACCAGCAAGTACCTCACAGCAAACCACAAAACAACACTAGCAATAAGTCCTGAGCTCAAGGAATGTGCAACACGTCCCCAGCCAGTCGCCACACTGTTCTGGTGGGAACACAGTAAAGACTGAGAACATCATCCTGGAATTATCATTGCTTCTTGACAAGTAAAACGTACGATCGTATATATCTATACAAATTGAAGAAAAATAAAGTAAAAGTATAAATGCGAGTGGAGTTGGGCGAGAGAGGTTTCTGGGGTTGTGGAATGGTCTACTCGTGATCTAAAGAGGTAAAAAAAAAAATCAGGTGCAAAGAGGAACGTTTTCAACAGCAACACCTGCACGTCACACAACTAATCAAGACAACTTCTGAGTCAAAGGCAAAAGAGGAAACGGGGTTACTAAGAATAATGTGAGGGTTTGTCCACTTCCTGTCCCTTCTGTCCTCACAGTTTGTCCTTCTGTGGACCACTGGTGACTCAGTGTTTTAATTGTACTGAAGTATAGTGTCTAATCTCATTGGTGAAGGTACACTCTTAGAAATATAGGGTTCCAAACGGGTTCTTCCTGAAGGGCCGAGGTTCTACCCAGAACCTTTTGCTTCAGAAGAACCATTATTTTTGAGGATTCCGTTCCACAGAGTACATGAACAGTAAAAATCAAAACCTGGGTAAGTTCTAGATGGAACCCTTGGAATATAAAAGGGTCCCAATAAAAACCCCTGGATGGGATCTAGATGGAATCCTTGAAAATAAAAAAGGGTTCTCGGTAGAACCCTTGAAATATAAAAGAGTTCTCTGTAGATACCCCTGGTTGATTATCGAGGAAACCTTTGGAATATAACAGGGTACTAGTAGAACCCCCTGGGTGGGTTCTTGTTGGCACCCTTAGAAAGAAGGAAATGATCAGGATAGAACCAGAGTGTTCTGTGTTGGAACCATTACACCGTAGAAGGGTTCTCTGTAGAACCTCTTATCGGGGGATCTGTGTGGAACCTTACAGATGGTTCTAGGTATAACCCTTTCCCAGTGGAACCTTTACAAAAGTTTCTACCATGAACCAAAAAGGGTTCTCCAATGAGGACAAGCCAAAGAACCACATATGGTTCTAGTTAGCACCTTTATTTCTGAGAGTGTAAACACATCTGTCCTTTATGGTGAGTGAGTAGTTGTTGTTTTGGTTTGTTGTTTTTAATTCTTCTTCTACTCTCACATCTGGCAGGTTCTCTACTTCCTGCCTGCTCGAGTGACCGATAAGGTAACGACCACTCTGACCTCTACTGGACAATAAGGTGCTAAAGTTTATCTCCCTAAACTCCGTTCATCTACACACTCTTAACTTTCAAGTGAATCACAAGTGTGTGTTTGTGTATTAAAGAGAGATAAAGAGAGACGAGAACACGAGAGAGTTTGTGTGTTTGTGTTGTTGTATAGATCAGTAAAGGGCCGAGAGGTTCAGGGTTCAGGTGCAATATTCAGAAAAAGCAGAGTTCTACAGCTCAGTCTCTTTATGTACAACAACAGTCTGAACAAAGCTTCAAGAGAAAGTGACAGGTTTGACTTTGTGTCTCACTTCTTCTTCTTCCTCACAGCTCGCTGATGCAGCAAGTTCTGTTCACAAAGTCCTCAGCGCTGCCCTCTGGTGGACAGCAGCGGTTGTAGCAGCAAGGAGAACCCTCAACTCTCCCACTTTTCTTCCAGCATCTCCGCACTTGTCTTTATTTATTCTGTCTTTAGGGTCTGAGGGTTATTGTCAAGTACAAATGGTTCAACCTATATTCTGTGGGTTTTGTGTCAATGTTGCTATACGTGTGTGTGTGTGTGTGTTTCTTATTCAGTCTGTGTGTGTGTGTGTG